GATATTAGATTAAGAACACAAGTGTAAATTCAACAACAGAATGTAGTAGAACGGTGGGATGTACTTTTTGAAAGTTCTATCTATTGATAGGCAGGTGATGCACCAAATAAATTCTGACAATTCTGCGGACCTTGGGATGTTATTCTTTCATTTTGAACTATTATTCTGTAAAGTTAGTCTAAATACTCATTTCTATCATATTTATGGAAAAAGTGATAGAGTGGGAAGCATAAAAAGTTTCCCAAGGTGACATTCAAAATCAAAAGTGCATCTAGCTTGAAATATAATCCCATTCGGTTCAGTCAGTTCAACACCTATTATTACCCACCTATGTGGTAGATGTTGCAGGGGATTTAAAAATGAATGACAATAGGCATGACCTTAAGAACATGTGATGTGATTGAAGAAAATAAAGGATGCAAAAAGGGAAAAAACCTACAATATTACATAGTCAACTAAGTGCCTCAAAAATGGCATAAAATTTTCTAAGTGTTCGAAGACATGTATTTTTGAAGGGTGTCACTTCAGATAAACCTGTAAGGGAAAGGAAACGATAGATGGATAAATGGAGGTGGAACTAGAAGTGCCAGAGCAAAAGGTGGCAAAGAGACAGTAACACCTTGTATTTACTCAAGGAGCATCCAGGCTCCATTTGGTCAGACTGTCAAATATGCAGAGAAGTTAGAAGTGGAAATTGGATGGAGACCACATGGTAGTGGCCTCAGTCTAGAAAGCCACCGTGAAGAGACTGTATTTAATGAGACAGGGAATGAGCTCAAAACTATGGAGCTCATGATCACAGACTTTGATCAAATAATTCATCTTTAAAAATATACTGTTTCTAGGATAGGAGATATCTATTAAGAAGCACAAAACTAAGTGGCAAAGAAACCATATTGTCTAAATTGCTCCAGAAGATTATCTTTTTCTTACAGAGAAGAAAGCTGGAGCAAATTACCATCTTCTATTAATAAGTTATACTCAAGCATTCTCTAAGAGTCTGTTTCTGAAAGATCAAACCTAACAACATGCAAACTGCCTTAAAAACAACTACAAATCTCTATGCAATCACGCACGTACTAAAACCTTAACTGGCATACATGTTCTAGATCACATTTATGTCTCAGCTCAAATTTACCAAACCTCAGACTTTAACTTGTAACTATCCTTTAAGGGAAAAAGACTTTCATACTTCATATTTGAATATTTTTGGAGGCAATCACAAGTCATTGATTGACAAAAGGCAACTGTCACTTGCCAAATAATCTGACCCATATGTATTTTATAGGAAATATTCACTTAAATTAACCCTGCTATATTTTTTGCTCTAGATACATATAAAGTAAGAAAATGTATACTACTAACAATATTTCTCAACAGGATACGTTCATAACAAAGTCCACAAATTAATAATATTTAAATCTTAGGGTTTTTTTTAATTTTTATAAATTTTTTTTTTTATTCCCCATACAATTGCAGCCCCCTTATTTTGACCCCAATCCCTCCCCTCCCCATACCCCACCCCTCATAGAGTGTCTCTGGTTCATAGTTTTTGCTGATTTTGTAAATCTTGGGTTTTTAACTCCAATGAAATCAGAAAAAAAGCTACTAAAATAAATGTAAATGACCTGCTAAACTACTTGTTTCTAGAACACAGCAATATTAGACACTTTAAAAAGTGAAATTTCCCTGGAGTCCTAAACTATTCTTATTATCTAAACAATGGTAATATATTTTCTTGTGGATTAAATCTCAGTTAAGAATAATAATGAGTGGGCCTCCCCTGGTGGCTCAGTGGTTGAGCTCTGGGTTGCGAGGCTGCCCGCAGCCTCTGCATTGGCAGTTTGATCCCCGGCCACCAGCAAGGGACCCACAAAAAAAAAAATAAAAAAATAAAAAATAAAAGATTAATAATGAGGCCAAAACTTAGCTACATATTTTTACACCTTTTTTCCCTCATTTAAATTTTAAAATTCTTCAAGACATTAATATTCATTGTCCTTAGACAGGGTTAATAAACTGTTTACAATAAGTTTAAGATAAGGTTAAATATATAACTATACTGGAAAAATGTGAGATTTGAAACATTTAGGTTAAGTTTATTTTCTCTAAATATTGGTGTTCAGATATACTACTTGGCATGGGCAAATAATTTTTTTGGTATGTGTAGATTATATTTAATCATGAAAATAAATTTATTATGATATAGAACTTTCAGTCATAACAGATTTTAAAGTCAGTGTTGTTAATATTTTGTTATTTTTGTTAATTATTTCCAATAATGGTGCAAAAGAGGGTATTTTATTTTTCTGTCTGCTTTATTTCACAAGAATGTACTCAAAGTACAAGACTTTGCATGTAGGAGGTGCTATATCAATTTTGAATAAATGAATACATCATTAGTGTAAATGAAAATGGGAAACATAATAAAGTTGTTTTTATTGTAAATTGCCACCCATTTACAAAATGGTAATTCAAAATATCAACAGTATTGCATATAGGAAGAGTAAATTACTGAGGACCATTAATATGAGAGATTTGGGGGAAGATAAAAATACCAGCAAAAAATATCAGTTTCTCTGCCCTCTGGTGGCAATAAAGTTAACTGCAGTATTTACTAAAGTAATGCAAAATAAAATGTCCCTGTTATGAAATCAGATTTTTTTTTTTTTACTTATGCCAAATGTCTGTAATAAAAATTCTGATTGCTAAATGCAAAACTTCAAGACTGTAGGATTTTTTTAATTTTCCCATATTGAACTTTTAGCTAGGCTATTTTACAAAGGGTACCATTTCCCCCCGCCCTCTTTTCATAGCTACAGTTTATATAGCAGGTTAAACATTTAATTCTAAGATTATTTGGAATTCCTAGACTGATATCTAGGAAAGAAGCTACTTCAGTTTGTAATATACCTCCAAAGAAATTCACAAGACTTTTATAACTACTACTTTTTCACTCTATTCTGTAAATATATGAGTTCCTAGAGTAGTTTCCAACAGAAATGTTGGATTAGTTTGAAATTACTGTACATTTAGTTGGACAATTTAGGAATTTATATTCCCCAAAGCAAAGGGTTTTTGTATATCTGGCAATCTTAGGGTGGAATGGATTTCATTCCAAACTTGGACTTAGAATAGTAAATCATGTGTGTGTATGAAAAAAGTTCAGAAAACTCAACATTTTGTTGACATTGCTTTTAGTTTTAAATTTTCTCAAAGTTTTCAAGCTGGGGATGCATTTTGGCACACACTTCTCTAACCTCCTTTGGGATGAAGTAATTGCTTTAAGTATGTATTCATTCCTTGGATATGGCCATAAAAATTATTGCTGTACCTTTTAAAATAAATATTACTTTCCAGAGAGGTAAAAGTATTATTTTTTACTCAATCATATCTACAAGAAATTCACAAGACATTTATAACTGCTACTTTTTCACTCAATTCTGTAAATAGATGAATAAGAAAATAAATGAAGGTATGGTTACTGACATAAATAAAAATGAGGAAAAATAAATGAAAGTATGGTTACTGACAAAACCAACCTATGTACATTTATACAGAAGAATTACATGTGACAAAGATAAATCGACAACCAGTTAATCTGAGTTTAATTCACTTTTAAAACTATTGTGACAATCTTGGTCCCCCACCCCCAAGCGCACACACACCTGCAGTCAGAATTTGTGCTTTCTCTATATGAAAAACCACCACCACGAGCAGACTTGGTGTTTTGCTGTCTTCTGGGTCTCAGCTTGGTAAAATTTCATTGAAAGACTTCCTTCAAGATTCCTCTTACTTAGAAGCCCCAGGTGATGGCCCTAGTCTTCCCACCTGTGACTTACAGGTGCGATATTAACGAACACGTGTGCTTCTGAGGAATCACTTACCACCACCATCAACCCTCACAATTAAAACACAATCGTGTTATCCTAGCCAGAAAGTTTTGTTTTCTTTTCCCCTCCAAGTGTGCTTTGCTCATTTCACCTCCTCTCCAAGTCTAGCTCATGAATTCCACCAAGGTCTTTCTCTACCTGAATTTTTGTTTTTCACTTTCTTCCTGAGGGGAAGTGGACACCCGGGGAGTGGACACCCGGTTCGCAGTGGGCAGGATCCGGAGAGGCAGCTGGACCTCAGGTTCAAGGGCTCCTCGCTGGGAGGAACTAGAGGCAGCCGGCCCAGGGCAGCGCAGTGGAAGGGGCACTCCTCCCGGGGGTGCGGCTCCTGGCCGCACCTGCACCTGGTGGTTGAACCCGGGGAGCAGGAGGCTCTGCCACCGGGAAGACGCGGAGGCAGAGTCGTCCAACCATGGTAATGCCAAGGCCCTGGGAGGAACCCGCCTGCGTTTAGGCGTCTCAGTGAAACCCGCCTGCGGGAGACAATGGGACCAGGGATTGGTCTCCAGAGGTGTGTCTGCCCCACCTCTGCCAGCAACTCTCCTCCTTCACGCCCCAGCGCACTTACCCCGCCCCACTTCCAGCACCAGCTGAGCCCTAGACAGCGAGAAGCTAAGGAAGGGATGGCCAGGGGGAGGAAGGCGAGAGGCCACAGCGAATTTTCTCCAGCTGAGGGAAGCCCTGCAATCCCCGGCTGCCACCACGTCCACCACCCAAGGCCCCCATCACGCACTGCCTTTCAATCTGAGCAGCAGGGAAGGAGGAGGAGCCGAGCCGAGAGGAGACAGCCAGGGGATGCTGGCTCCAGGGCGAGGGAGTTAGAGAAAAGCTTGCTCTACCACCAGGGCCCTCCCCCACTATTTGGGGGAGACAGTTGTGCTCCCTACTGCTCAGGTGCAACAAGCCCCAAATCCTTACGAATACCTCCATTCTGCACCATCCTTCTCTAGGCAACCGTCCTCCTGACTTGACAAACCCAAGTTTACCCGAAAAGCAATTGCAATAACTTTAACAAGGGCAGAGAGATGAAGTGGGTACGGGTTGGGTATAGGGGTGCCAGAGAGGTCTCCGCTGTGCACAAAATCAACAAGCGAAAGTGCATCTTACCATTGATCTGGTTCACAGGCTCCCCGTCAGCAAATTGAAACCGGTCCATTAAAAAGTGGCAAAGTAACACAACTCCAGCCGCGGCCAGGTCGCCCCTCAGGAACCCCGCCATGGCGCGCCACGACCTCCCTCCCGCTCCCCGCCAGGCCTTCCCCACGCCCGGCGCTGGGGTCTCCAAGTAGCAATGGGGAGCTCCGAGCTGAGCGCTGAGGACCCTCGCGGCAGGACCGGAGGTCTCTGTAAATTTCTCTGGGCTTGCACCCCGAGAGCCGGGAAGAGGAAGCAGGGAGCGCAAGAAGGAGCTCAGTCCTCTCCGGACCTCGGGTCTGTCTTCGCAACTTGCCACAACACTCGCAATCCAGACGCAGCACAACTGCCAGCAGGAAAGGCCACTTGCAGTCGGGGCTTGCAAACTCTGGGTTCCACGCCGGCAGAGCCCACCACTTCCGAGCCCCTGCGATATGCTCCACCGGGCTCAAAACAGATCTAATTCCAGCGCCAGCGAAGGTGCCGCCTCCAGATCCGAAAGGGCTGTCGCCACGGAGGAACTTTCCCGGGTCTTGGGATGGCCCCCAGCGAGGGCTGGGGTTGCGGGAAGGGGGTTACAGTGGGTTGGCGAAATCCCTCCCACAAGTTTTTCTTCTTTGCTTCGCCCCAAGCAGGGCGCACGTCCGTTTTCACAGCCAGAGGGATGGGCAGCCCCAAAGAGCTGCGCCCCGGGAAGGCTCAGGCTGCAGCAGTCTGAAGTCGGAGGCCAGAGGGGAAAAAAAAAAAAAGACGAAGACGAGAGAAACAGGGGTGAAAAAGTCAGGCTGAAACCTATCTGGAAGGGGTTCTTCCCGGCAGAGGAGAAGGTGGCCCCGAGGCCCGCTGCGCCCCAAGGAGTTTGGTGGCGGAGCAGGCACCGCGCTGCACTCCCCACGCTCCTGCTCCACACTTTGGGGAGGAGAGGCAGCTCGCAATTTGCCGATTCTGCCTCTGCACCCTCCTCCCGCCTCCCTCCTCCCTCCCCCTACTCTCCTCCAGGCTTCTCCCACCTTCCTCCCCAAACCAGCAGCCAGCACCGACCTGTCCAATGGCTGCACTTTCCTCTGGGCTGGCAGAGGGCTCGGGGAGAGAAGAAGCCGGGCGCAAAGCAAAGGGGAGTGAGAGGGCAACTCCTGCACTGTGCAGCGAGTGGCCGGGAGCGCCCGGGCAGAGGGCGAGCAAGGAGGGGAGAGCCGGGCTGCACCTCCGTGCTGCTGGGGCGCCATCCCTGCACCCAGCTCACGCCCCAAGCAGCCCCGCGGGTGGTGCCAGCACCTCCCGGTCCCCGGGCGCCCTAGCGCCCGACTGCGGGGTGATGGTGCCCCAGGCCTTGCGGGCGCTGGCCACTGGAGGTCTTTCTGGGCGCTAAAGGGTTAATTTCAGCTGGCTGCTCCGGGAGGGTGTGTGTGGCAGTGGTTGGGGTGTGAAGAAAGCAAACCAGAGGCAGCTCGGTTACTGACCCTGAGAAGCCCCTTCCGACCCCAGCCCGGTTAGGCTGGTAGAGGAAGGTGGTGAGCAGGAGCACAGTCCCCCCCCCAGCCGCAGCCGCTGCTTTGTGAAGTGTCAGCAGGAGCAAAAGGAGACTTTAAAGAAACAGGAGGCCCATTGAATTTCCTATGGGGTTTTAACTGGCTTTAGCTTGCTAGTTTGTTTTTGTTTCCTCAGCTCTGGGATGTGCTCAGTGTTAACCCTTTCCAGCCCTCTCATTTGCTGGCATGTGATTTTGCATAGTTAACCTCTTTTTAAAAGGATATATACAAAGAAAGGAAGCAAAGCATACTGGTTAAAAGCACAAATTCTAGAACCAGACAGTCTGGTCTGACATCCAAATTTCCAACTTAGAGAATTATATGACTATGAGCAATTTAATTTCTTAGTGCCTCAGTTCCCCACCCATCAAATGGGAGACCCTTATAAAAGTGTTGCATTGGATTAAATGAGTCCACAGTCTGAAGAATTTAGAATGATACCTTGAACAAAGTGCTTGGTTTTATTGAGAGAGAAAAGGGGTGGAGGGCAAATCCAATGGAGAATTTGCTTTGGTGTTTTAAGTTTAAAAGGTCTGGTTAGTCTACTTTTGTTCATTCTGTTCCAGCTCTGAAGAGTCTGGATATCATCCATAAGCACCTTACTTTTGTCACAAAATCCAATGGAAGTGGACCTCCATAATCAAACTACTCTGCTAATTTGATGCCTGAGTTGTAAGAATGGCTGTCTTGTGGATTCTTAGCTGGGGAGAAGGGAACAGGTACTGTAATCTATTTTCCCTAACCTAATATTCAAATTTTTGTTTATTTCAGGGGGAAAAACTGATGTATGGATAAACATGTCATGCATACACAGTTATACCAAGAACCTTGGTCTCTTGAGCTTTCTCCCAAAGGACTGATTTCTTCCTCTTCACCACACTCAGGGAACAGATTCGCTTAATACTATTCAACCAGAAGTTTTTAAATACCATGTATGGTTACATACAAATCTGTGTACCTAGAACACACTTACCTGTTTTACATTAAGTTGGAAAACTGTCTTCTAGTAAAATCTGCCCTTTAACTGATGTTGATTTTTTGGTCTGCATTCCTAGTGAAGTCACAACCTCATGAATCCATGTGGAAAGCATTCTAAAATGTTCTGTACAATTCTAATCCCCATTAAGAATATGATGGGAAACCCAGCAGGAGACATCTCAAGAATGCATTTCTCTTTTAGTCTGGGATATTCCCCTGTACTGTCCAGAAATATGGTGTTTTCTCTTTCTCTGAGAAGAAAGAATTCTCCAGCACTCCCTGGAATCAATTTCTTTCATTTTTTTTCTTTATTACTACATGTATGAATTAGCAGTGTTTATTTTTCTTGTAAGCTGTCAGCAATGTTTTGGCCTTTTGATTGAAGTTATATATCTTAAGTGGAAATTTGATACAAGAAATTGATAGAGAGGGCCTCCCTGGTGGCACAAGGGGTTAAGACACAACCTAGCAAGCTATCCACAGCCACTGCAGCAAGAGTTCTATCCCTGGCCAGGGAGCTACCCACATGGCTCAGCAGACCTCTCCTGACTCGCCTGCTGCTCCCCTCAGCAGTGTATTTCAGTCGATCTGCCTGTTCTGTTCCCCAATCTGTCTCTGGTAAATCCTCTCACCCCCTGCACCTATGGCCTATACCCCAGTTCTTGTATGCATAAATAAATAAACCTTTTTTAAAAAAAAGAAATTGAAAGGGAACCAAATAAATGAGTGAGTTTGGAGAGACTTTCTTGTGCTTTGTCTCTCACTGGTACTATTTAGTTGTTTCATTTACATCTCAAGCTCACTCTGAAGAGCAACACACATTGTAAATATTTACCTATAGAAGGTACAGGAAAGCAAAATAAAGCATATATGATGATTTAATGCCTGGAACTTAGGAAGAAAGAACATAAATGTAATAAACGTAGGCCTTGATATCTCACCTTAAATTCCAACCAAAGGTTATTTGTAAAAAAAAAATTAAAATTGGGCCTCCCTTGGTGGCGCAGCGGTTGAGTGCTGGGTTCTCCGGCCACCAGTGAGGGTCCCACAAAAAAAATAAATAAATAAAATTTACCTTTATAACAACAGATAAAATGTATGTAGGGCAGACAGTGTGTTCAGAGTGAAGTGGAAAGAGTCGATTGCTCATATAATCCTGGCTAATTAAAAGCAGTATACTTTGCGACCAAAATGATTTGAGTTTACCACACACATTTCACCACAATTGTCTACTTTAATCTCATGGTGACAAATTAAGATTATTTGTGGGAAAAAATTCATCTTCCATTTGATTTGAAAGGCTATAATGAGTGGAAGTTTGTTTCATTTATTGTATATATAGGAATTGAACTGCAGTGGTTTTTTGTTTTCATGCTCTCACTGACTTGAAACTCTCATGGAATAAATAAATCAATCAGGAATCAAGTGTGAGTAGTACTTAAGTTCTCTGTCCATGACAAAGGTCTGAAATTTCTAGAATACTCTATTAAGGTTTTGAGAATGTTCATCAGATTCATACAACCTATAACTTTCATCAGATTCATACAACGTTCATCAGATTCATACAACCTATAACTTTGGGCAGATATTTAACACTTAAGCTAATGTCTGTTCAGTTAATGCTAAAACCTGTTTAAACCATACCAACACCCAACTTCAGAGAAACTGTTACACAGTCTAAGTGCAATAGTAAATATTATAAAGATAATTACAATTTCCCATCTTATCTCACCCCCAACAGGCACATTTCTGTTTCCAAGGATATGTTCCCATATTGAACTTAGATTAAAAAAAAACAGCAAGTAAACATCATGTTTACTTAGGAAAAAACCAAACTGAGATATAATACAAGTCATGGAGTACTTAGCGATTGTTATATTTTATTCATTATTATTTCAAGAATTAGTTTTGGTCTACTTTAATAGGATTTGTTAAAACCTTCTAAAACTGCTGTCAGATAAAAGGAAGCTATAAGTGGATTGCTTTTATTCAATCCTAAGCTAATATTATGATTCTTGCCTCTATGTCTATGGCGTTTTCTCTCCCTTTTCATGTAATAGGGCTAATTGTTTTACCTCTAGTACATAATTAGAAGACTCATTTGTTCATCTTGGCTAACTTCTATTCTCACAATCATCCAAGATTTCATTATACTGTTCATAAATATTTCAACTTTTTTGCTCCTGTACAGTTTTAAGTAAAAATCATATGAAGTGTTTTAAATCAAATATGCATTTAAAAAAAAGCACCTAATATCTAACAACATTTTTTAAACAGAAACATTTAATATGCAAGAATATTTAATGCATTTTATACTCCTATCAATATATTTTCTATTTAAATTAATTTCATCCCATTCATAATGAAGTAACAGGTTGCATTAAAATGACATGGGTTTCTACAGTCCTATTTTTGAATCTTAATAAGCTAATTTATTTTACTAGTAAATGGAAATGTACAAAAATGTGCAACTCAAAATAGTAGAAAAGGAATTATAACAGAGTGGTCTCCAGGAAAAGGGAGAGCCCCAGGTTCACTGCCCCACCCAAGAAAGGGTGTAGCAGGAAGGAAGAGAAACTGGAGTAGAGACTGGAGGTAGGAAGTAAGGATAGAGAACAAGGAGACCTGGACAAGGCACATGGAGCAGAGAGACATGTGAAGAAGAATCTAGAAAACTTAAATAAGAGACCAGGAAAAAGAATAACTATAAGAAAGTAAAAATCAAAATCAACAAACAACTATGAACCAGAGACACTCTATAGGGGGTGGGGAGGGGAGGTATTGGGGTCAAAATAAGGGGGTTGCAATTGTATGGGGAATATAAAAATAAAATTAAAAAAAAAAAAGGTGCACTTGCTTCTTAGTCTTGGACTGGTTGAAACAGATGTGGGTTTTGGGTGCGAGACCCATGGGAGGTTAACAATGGCAGCTTTTATCCTGATTTTGATTTTGCTCCTTCTGTCCCAGATCTGCTGGACACCTTCTGCCCCTTTCCTATGGGTGCCCAACTGGAAGTGCCTTAGACTTGTGGCAGACTTTCAGGCCTCAGTGGCCCTGCTTGGGCTAAACCTTTTTGGCATTTATCCATGAGGGAATGGTTAACTTTGGGTTCTGTATTTGGAAGCTTTATTCTTCCCCTTTTCTGTATTGCTAATTGTATGAAATTTCCTTCCCATTAACGGTCTCATAGAATAGAGTATGTTTTGTAGTGAATCAGCGGATGGCAGAACCTATTTAGAATGGGCAGGTTTGGGGGAGCTGGGGTGCCCCTCACCCTGCCCTGTAACAGAAATATTAAAGTGGAACTGGATGCTCTTACAAGGGGCTAGTATTTCTTACATTTCTTTGTAAGAAGCAACAATGCATAGTAAACATAGTCCTCATTTCTCAATTATACTCAAAGACATGTCTGACTTCTGCTTTTTT